TTTTCCATCTAAATTTCACAAAAAGAGGAAACCAAAGATGCCTAGCAGTACACACATCACGTGAATTAAGTTACTGCTATTTGCAATTGTTCAATTTGATGATAATAATAATAAGTTAATAATTGTTCATTTATGATACACCTCGTTAGCAGCTTGTACCTGTGATTGTTGATCAGTTAGTACACTAAGAAAAATATCTATAAAAATGGAAAAGGTACTAGTAATTTTCCAGGACATTGTCCGTTATCCATCATCCGTTGTAACCCGAAACACAAAATACAATGCTAATTTAAAATGCAGGTAAAAACCTGTGAATTATTTTCTTAGAGTGTAGCATACTGACTACTAATACACTGCTTAAAACTATAATTGTTCAGAATGTGTAGTTTTACTAGTTTACTAGCTAATAAAAAAAACTTGTAATCGTTCAAAAATGTGTAAGTGTTCAATAATTCAATGTTGTATGTAAAAAAAAGTTATTTATATTTTAACATTATATTATGCATTTATATTATTTTACGAACAAATCTAAATGAACATAAAAATATATATATTTTTTAATGAAGTGACACAATTTTGCGTCGTGATAACGTAATGACGTCATCACGCAATGACGTCACAACGTCATTTAGCAACAAATCGAACTTCCTTTAGCAACTTCCCCTGAAAATTAGTTGGCAACACTGGTTCACAGGCTTCTCCGCAAAGGCCACTATGCCGAGCGCGTCGGTGCCGGTGCTCCGGTGTATCTGGCCGCTGTGCTCGAGTACCTCACCGCTGAGATCCTGGAGTTGGCTGGAAACGCCGCTCGGGACAACAAGAAGTCCCGTATCATCCCCCGTCACCTGCAGCTGGCGGCGACGAGGGACGAGGAGCTGAACAAGCTTTTTTGGCGGCGTGACCATAGCTCAGGGCGGCGTGCTGCCGACCGAGAAGGCCGTGCTGCTGCCCAAGAAGAGCGAGAAACCGGCCAAAGCCAAGTAAACATCCAGTCTTTGAGTTTTTTTTTTTATGCACATTTGAGTAATTCTGAGACCATAACATTGATAAATAATGATACAAATAAAATTGGCTCTAAACATTCATGTTCAAAATTATTCAACCTCCAAAAGTCAAAATTTGCAGAATCTTTTATTCTTTAAAGTCCCCATGAAATCAAAATTGTTTTTTTCTTGTTTTGTTTTTTTTGGGTGTTCGTATCAATATGTTAGTTGTAAGGTTATCTAAAAGGCAATGTGCTCCAAAACAGTGACACAATTTGCATTTAGAAGATCTAAGCATTCAAAGCTTTTAGTTCGTCACTTCCGCCAAAACGGCTCAACGATTTTTTTTTGACGTCACATCGTACTTCAGCTTCTCATCAAACTTTCCGTCCAATCAAATGCTCTCTAGTTTTAGGATACCGTTCTAAGGGGGCTCTCGTGGCACTCTGAAAGAGCAGCTCATAGATGGAATGGTGCATACCAAACCCAATATGTTTGAGAGTCACCAACTCGATCTAAGATATAAAGCTGGAATGCCTAGCAGTAAATCTCTAGCTGAGGGGGCAAACACTCAGCTCTCACACGAGAGGGGAGCTCGACCTACCGCATGTTCCAATGCTGGAACAGCTAGCAATAATTTACTTAGCTAAGGGAGCAACACACCCAGCTCTAAAACGAGAGGGAGGCTTGGACCTACAGCATGTTCCAATACTGGAACTGCCAGCAGTAAGTTACCTAGCTGAGGGAACACAGACCCAGCTCTCAACGAGAGAGGGGGCTCGCCCAGCATGATCGTTAGAATCAGAGGTAAGTGTACTGCAAGCTAGCCAAAAACTCAGCGCATCAGAGAGGCGGATTTGGAAGGGCCTAGTTCACCTGATGCTACTGGTTCCAGGTGCTCTGGGAAAACAGAGAACTCAACTCTCACGTGAGAGGAGAACTCCGAATTCAGAAAGGAGTAGCGTGCTCATAGGCAACCCTTTGATAAAAGGGAACACTGCTAAACACTACCATGAGAACAGCCCACGGAGCGAGGAATCCCACTCCTCAGAAGGCAGAGAATTCAAACGCTCGAAAGAAAGCACCATGCTCACAATAACCCTCAATGGTGAGGGGAGCGATACTTCAAAAGTGTGTCAACAGAGACACACTGGTTGAGTGGAGCCCAAGGTACCGGGGTCTAAACAACTCAGAGAAAGGGAACGAGGCTAATAAAGTGTAACCCTTACCATACAGGATTTCAGAAATGTGCGCAAAGTATAATGTGCACACTTACCACTATGTGGATTTTAGAAAGTGCACAAAGTGCTCAGCGTGCACACTTACCACCATGTGGATTTCAGAAAGTGCACAAAGCTTAGCATGTGCACTTACCATAGCATGGATTTAAGAGCTTCCCAAGCATCTGTTCACAGATACCCGGAAGTACTGAGCCAAACTGGAGAGGCAAGCTCAAATACAACCCTCTAAGGCGAGGGGAGCACTGCCTGAGACAGCATTACACAAGAAGGTTCTCGCAAATGCCACCTATACTTCCCGCTCAATGCCTCAGCAAGAGGGCATATCCTGGTGACCAGGAAGCCCCTCAGGGCGACCTAGATACTGTGTACCAGACAGGGCAGCCTGAAAGCAGAAGCCCAGCCCGGACGTCCAGGAAATGTTGCAGTGCCGTGCCGGTGGCCTGATGATCAAGAAGGCTTCCGCAGAAGCCTGTGACCTGGCCGCAT